TGGTTGTACACAAAGTAGAGTCACACCATTCATGTCTTCATACATGTACTTAGGATAATGATGACCATCTCATTCCACCTTCTTTCCTACCTCCATACCCCCTCCACTCTCCTCCCTCCCCTTTGCTCCACCTCGATTTTGTCTAATCCTCCAATGCTCCCTCCTAACCCCACTATGAATCAGCCTCTCAATATCAGAGAAAAATTTGGCATTTGGGTTTTGGAGATTGGATAACTTCATTTAGTATTATCTTCTCTAACTGCATCCATTTACCTGCAAATGCCATGATTTTGTTCTCCTTTAATGCTAAATAGTATTCCATTGAGTATATATACCACATGTTCTTTATCCATTCATCAACTGAAGGGTACCTAGGGTTGGTTCCACAGTTTAGCTATTGTGAATTATGCTGCTATAAATATTGAAGTGGCTGTGTCCCTGTAGTATGCTGTTTTTAAGTCCTTTGGGTATAAACCAAGGAGTGTGACAGCTGGATCAAATGATAGTTCCATTCCCAGCTTTCCAAGTATTCTCAATACTGCTTTTCATGTTGGCTACACCAGTTTATAGCTCCACCAGCAGTGTATGAGTGTGCCCTTTTCCCCACATCCTCTCCAACACTTATTGTTGTTTGTCTTCATAATAGCTGCCATTCTGACTGGAGTGAGATGAAATCTTAGAGTAGTTTTTATTTGTATTTCTCTAATTGCTAGAGATGTTGAACATTGTTTCATATATTTGTTGATTGATTGTATATCATCCTCTGAGAAGTGTCTGTTCAGTCTCTTCACCCATTTGTTGACTGGGTAATTTTGTTTTTGATGTTAAGATTTTTGAGTGCTTTATATATCCTAAGATTAGTGCTCTATCTGATATGCCTGTGGTAAAGATTTGCTCCCATTCTGTAGGTTCTCTATTCACCTCACTGATTGTTTCTTTTGCTAAGAAGAAGCTTTTTAATTTGAATCCATCCCATTTATTGATTCTTGGTTTTAATTCTTATGCTATAGGACTCTTATTAAGGAAGTTGGAGCCTAATCTGACATGATTGAGATTTAGGCCTACTTTTTCTTCAAATAAGTGCAATGTCTCTGGTTTAATTCCTAGATCCTTGATCCACTTTGAGTTGAGTTTTGTGCATGGCGAGAGATAGGGGTTTAATTTCATTGTGTTGCATGTGGATTTTCAGTTTTCTCAGCACCATTTGTTGAAGAGGCTATCTTTTCTCCAATGTATGTTTCTGGCACCTTTGTCTGATATAAGATAACTGTATTTATGTGGTTTAGTCTCTGTGTCCTCTATTCTGTACCATTGGTCTACAGGTCTATTTTGGTGCCAGTGTAATGATGTTTTTGTTATTATTGCTCTGTAATGCAGTTTAAGGTCTGATATAGTGATGCCTCTTGCTTCACTCTTCTTGCTAAGGATTGTTTTAGCTATTCTGGGTCTCTTATTTTTTCAGATAAATTTCATGACTTTTATTTATATTTCTATGAGGAATATCATTGGGATTTTGATTGGAATTGCATTAAATCTGTATAGTGCTTTTGGTGGTATGGGCATTTTAACAATATTAATTCTGCAAAGCAAGAGCAAAATAGATCTTTCCATCTTCTAAAGTTTTCATCAATTTCTTTCTTTAGTGCTCTGTGGTTTTCACTATAGAGGTCTTTCATCCCTTCTGTTAAATTGATTCCCAGGTATTTTTTTTTAGGCTATTGTAAATGGGGTAGTATTCCTCATTTCCCTTTTAGAGAACTTGACACTGATGTACAGAAATGCCTTTGATTTATGGGTATTGATTTTATATTCTGCTACTTTGCTGAATTTATTTATTCACATTTTTTAATTTTTAACATTTTAAAGTTAGTTTTTCTTTTATTGCTTATGTAAAATAGTTATCATAACTCATGGTAATGGTGCCACCTATTTCATATGGTTATCATAAGTTTACAAATAACACCCTTACTATTTTGGGAGATTACTAGTGAATATTATTTACTATGAGTGCCTACAGCTAGTAGATAGTACTTACTAAGAGTTGGCTAAGGCGATAAGATCTAAGAGGGAGAAAACCTACCTCCTGCCCTGATGGTGGAAGGATAATATTCTGCAGTTAATGGAGCCAGCCTTGACCCACTGATAATTTCTCTGGAGGTCCCTGTGTTTCTCATGGAGGTTGTGTTTGCAAGTTCACCTGTTCAATTTGGAAAACTTTTACTTTTCTTTTAATTACAGAGTTTTTCTTTTTGGTTGCATAAATTGATCTCTGGAGACCACCATTCCACTTGAAGCCCTGCCTCTAGGGAAGCCACCGTGCCGAACCTTGGCTTCCCTCTTGCTTTCCAGTTCCAATAACCTGAAGACCTGAAGATGAACAAGATCACAGACTTCACATCAGTTCTTCCCAGAGGGATGTGAAGAAGACACACCACTCCAGGCAACTGCACTTGCACACACACACACACACACACACACACACACACAGTTGTAATATCCATAAATTTGTTTTCTAACATTTTGAGACTGTCTGAAAAAGACAATAACCTTTAGAAGCATTCCCACTGTGGACCATACCCAAGTCATGTGCTTAAAAGTGAAGAGAACTGGAAGCAATGCCCTCAAGCACTCACAAACGTCTGATACACTGTAGTGGGTGAGTAGATGTTCTTTTTTCCCATTTCCTCTTTATATTCTCTCTATGGCTGTGACTCTCCGGCTCTTTTCCATTTGAACCCATGCAGAGTTTTCTGATTGAGTAGATGGAGCCCCATTACCTCTCCACCTGTGTTCAGTCTCTGCCAGACCCTGCTGTACATCACTGATTGCTCACAGTTAAGCCAGCTCTATGGGGACCACAGGAGGAGCTCTTTCTAGTGACATCCTGTAATCAAATGTTGCTTTGCACTTCTCCATCAGCCATTCACATGTTCTCTGTCATGATCACAGGAATGAAACTGATTGCAGTTTTTCTCACCACATCACCTTACTGACACGTTCAGTGCTTATTAATTAAAATATATTGAACTCAGGTTAATGTATTTGGAAAGGTCATTATAAAGTATTATAGTACAAACCTCCATTTTAAACCAAATCCTTTTTCTTCCTCATATCCCTAAATGAAAAAGGATATGAGGAAGAGAAATTCCTATAAGAAATTTATTTGCTTTCCTGTGTGCTATAAATATGTAATAATAAAAGTGAATTAAAGAACAAACTAATAAATATTTGTGTCATACAAGCATCCAAACCTAAAGCCTAATTAGATACAAAAGCTTATCTTGTTTGCAGCACAGGCCTTTGTGATAAAATTTTCCACTAGCCTCTAACACACTCATCCATCACTCTATGGAAAAGTAGCAATAAAAATATCCACTCTCCTAAAGTCAGCTTTGTCAAAGCCTGTCAATATCAATTTTTTGTTTGTATTGCAATGTGGGATTTGAAATCATGCCTCATTTCAAACTTCTACTCATAAGAGTGGATAACTTCAGTTGATTACCTTGATAATATAACATAAATATTTCTAAGTGACAACTTAACACATACAAAACTGTCTGCAACAGGTTCCTGTTTTCTCTGTACTTCTGGCCCATGATTTCTGAACAACTGCATAATCTTAGGTTCTTGTTCTTACTCATAAGAAAAGCAAAATCCCAGAGGTTCAACTCCTCTACCCCTCTTCCTGAACATTTGCTTTATCTGTCTGAATTCCAAGATAAGAATAAGCAACAGTGCTATTTTTTAAAGTTGTATTTTGCGATTTTTTCCCTTACTTCTGAATGTTCTATTAACATTTAATGCACACTGATATCAGATTCCATGGGGAGTTGGCACAAGGCTGACTTTAACTATTTTAGTGGCCAATTTGACAGTGTTGGTTGGTGCTCAGGGGTCATCAACCTATTATGTGATTGTGTATAGTTGTGTTTTTTCAATATTTTTCTTTCTCATTGGTAATAAAATAACTTTAAAAGACACTTTGTATCTATGCACTAATGTAGAGTTGGTCGTGATTGCAGGTGTGCCGGTCAGCACTGTAAATGAATACTTGGCCTCTGAGAGGGTGAGGGGCACTACAATATGTCCATGCAGTTGTCCACAGGTCTTGAGAGCCGCTGGATTCCCCCATCATAGGAGGTTCACAGCTTTCTTAAGGAGAGGTAGAAGTAGTCATAAAGTCCTTGAGACTCATTCCTATTAGGAGGGCGTCTCAGCTTTGAGCTCTCTTATCTTCCCTGGCTCATCTCAGGGCCTATTTGAACACTGGAAAATAATCATTTGCTTTCATTATGATTCCCTCCATAAAAACAAAAGGTGCCTAATCCATATAGGTAGGATGGGTGCCTCCAGGGCGAGATGCAAGGAACGGGCAATGAACCCCTCTTTCCTTCACTACAGGTGGAAGTGGAAGCTGCATGGATGGGAGCAACCTGACCAGGGTCACTGAGTTCATCCTGCTTGGGTTTCAGAATGAGAAACCGGTGAACATTCTTCTTTTTTCTGTATTCCTGCTCATGTACCTGACATCTCTGGTCGGCAACACCCTGATCATCCTTCTAGTGTGCTGTGACCGTCGCCTGCACTCACCCATGTACTTCTTTGTAGCCAACCTCTCCTTCCTCGAGGTGGCCATCACCTCCACTGTGGTGCCTGAGATGTTGGGCAACACTTTCTCACTCACCAAAGCCATCTCCTTTGTGGGCTGCCTCACGCAGTCTTTCTTCTACTTCCTCTTGGGGTCCACCGAGTTCTTCCTCCTGGCGGTCATGTCCTTTGATCGGTACGTAGCCATCTGCAACCCACTGCGGTACGCGCTCATCATGAACAGACAGACGTGCGCGGCGCTGCTCCTGGGGTCTTACGTGGGCGCCTTTCTGTCCATCCTGGCGCCATCAGTTTTAACGGCCCCCCTGCCCTTCTGCGGGCCCAACGTGGTGAACCACTTCTTCTGCGACAGCGCCCCAGTGCTGAAGCTGGTCTGCGCGGACACCTCTCTGGCGGAGCTGGCGGACTTCGCCTCCTCGGCGGTGCTGCTCCTGGGCTCCCTGCTCCTGACCGGCGTGTCCTACACCTGCATCATCATCACAGTGCTCAGGATGCCCTCGGCGCAGGGCCGGCGCAAGGCCTTCTCCACCTGCGCCTCGCACATCACGGTGGTAACGCTGTACTACGGCAGCTCCATCTTCATCTACGTGCGCCCGCGGAAGGGCGGCGTGATGGACGTGAACAAGTTCGCCACCGTGCTGAACACCATCGTGACGCCCATGCTGAACCCCTTCATATACAGTCTGCGCAACGAGAAAGTGAAAGGCTCGCTCAGAGACGCCCTGGCGAAATGCCCTTGCAGACTAGGGACAACCATGTGCCAAAGGTGACACTTCCACGAAGGTGCCCTCAGGACGGGCTGCAAAAGCATTTGTCAGTACAGAGTTAATTTTCCGTGTGAGGGGTTAATGATCTCTTAATGCCTATTAGACTCTCCAACAGAAGCTGACAGATGAAACATAAGACACGTGCTGCATTTGTCAGGCATGCTGTAGCTTGTGACAAAAGAAACCGCAAAGCTACAGCATCTGCCTTAGGTAGGTTCTCTTAAGGATCTAACTGGTTCCTCGCTGTGAACTGCGGATGCCTTGCGCCTCTCGGATTTTGAAAGTCTGACTCTCCTCTTCTAATCGGAAGAGTGAGTCCTAATAATCTTCCTCGTGTTCCTGGTCTTCCCAGCAGCATCTGCTCACTTGCCAGCAAGCTTCTAGGGCACATCTGGAGCACTCTCCTAGAGTTCAATCATGGCTGGCCAGCGGAAGGGAGATAGAGTTCCCCCAGTACAACATCTGGAAGTCACCGTTTTATTCTGCTATGTTGTCATGAGAAAAACCTGGGAATATGATTAGTGTTGAAGTTAGTGGGCATGAACTTCCGAAGAAAAGCCTCTCTAGAGCAGCTGGCCAGCTTGCAGATGGGGATGATGGCAGTCAGGCAGCTCCTGGCAGCAGCTCCCTCCCCCTCACTGTTCCAAGATAAGGTGGCTCTCCACGTTTCCCGGGGAATTGCATGTCCCGGACCTCCCATATCAAACACTACTTTCCTTTACTTGAAATTGTATTGCATCCCCTATTGCGATTGGTTGGTAAACTTCATTGCCTATGATACAGAATTTACAGAATAGGTCATTCCTGTGGCTGTTTTACTTATATTTCTGTTGCTGGTTGTCTTGGTATGCCTCCATTAGTTGAGGAAAATGGGAGAGATTAAATAATATAATTTAAATAGTTTCTGATTTGTTAATGCAACTGAAACAATTCTTTTTATTTTTATTTATTTTATATTATTTTTTTTTATTTTTTGAACTAGGGATTGAACTCAGGGGCACTTGACCACTGACCACATCCCCAGCCCTATTTTGTATTTTATTTAGAGACAGGGTCTCACTGGGTTGCTAAATGCATTGTCGTTGCTGAGGCTGGCTTTGAATGTGCGATCCTTCTGTCTCAGCCTTCTGAGCTGCTGGGATTACAGGTGTGCGCCAGCTTGCCCTGCAGCATCTGAAACAATTCTTGTACTTGTAAGTTAGATTCATTTGTGAAATATCTTCTGTAAATGCATACTTTTGTATTACTCACATGTGGGTGTAACAATGTTCTGGGGAGAATTTGAAAGTGTTCAAAAATGTGTTAAAAAGTTCACAATTTTTTTTTTAATTTTCCCTTTTTCCTGAAACTTTCAAATAAAACTCAAAAGAAAGCCAAAGTAAGATCACCATATAACTTCTTCAAGATTGAAGATAAGTTCAGCTATTTGTCAAGAGGATAATAAAATTGTCTAGATGAAAAATATCTAGAATACCTTATTCTAACTTCTTACATGGTGGAGATAAGAAGGGAGATCTGAGGCCACAGCGTAAGCAAGGCAGGGGCTGCATGGAGCTCAGAGATTCAGTCATTATTTCTCAAACTTAATATGTATTTTTATCCTGTTAAGTGCAAGGTTACTCAGAGTTAATGAGAGCCATTGTAGACAACCTAGGTAAATATGAAAAGAACATGGGAAGAGAGATAAACAATAACACAAGACAATAAAT